AAAAACAAGACGGGGACAATGAACAAGGACAAACAACGAACATGAACAAGACAAACAAGACCATGAACAAGGAAGCAAACGGACATGAAACAAGAAAACAAGAGGAAGAACAAGGACAAAGCAAGACGGGACATGAACAAGACAAAGCAAACGGACATGACAACAAGACAAGGGGACATGAAAAACAAAGGACATGAACAAGACAAAACAAGACGACATGACAAGGACAAGCAAGACGACATGAACAAGGACAAAACAAACGGACATGAACAAACGGACATGAACAAGGACAAAGCAAGACGGGACATGAACAAGGACAAAACAAGACATGAACACAGGAACAAAACAAGACGGGACCATGAACAAACAAGGACAAACCAAGACAAAGCAAGACGGACATGAACAAGGACAAAACATCCGGACATGAACTAAGGACAAAACAAGAAGAACGGAACAAGTGACCAAACAAACGGCACATGACAAAACAAGGACAAAACAAGACAAAACAAGCCAAAACAAGACATGAACGAAACAAGACGGGACATGAAACAAGGACAAACAAGACGGGACATGAAACAAGGACAAAACACAGACGGACATGAACCAATGAACAAAGCAAGACGGGACTAAGAACATAGCACCAAAACAAGACGGGACTAACAAGACAAAGACGGGACATTGAACAACGGACAAAACAAGACGGACATGAACAAGCAAACAAACGGACTGAACAACGACAAAACTAAGACGGACTTGCAACAAGGACAAAACAAGACGACATGAACAATGACAAACATGAACGGACATTGCAACAACGAACAAACAAGACGGGACGATGAACAAGAACAAACTAAGACGGACAATGAACAAGACAAAACAAGACAGGACATATACCAAGAAATAAGCCAAGACGGGACTATGAACAAGACAAACAAGACGGACAGAACAAACCCCAAAAACGGGACGGAACACATACAAAACAGACGGACATGAACAAGACATAAACACAGACTATGAACAAGGACAAAACCCAAAGACTGACAAGACAATAAGATACGAACAAGGACGTGCGTTGCTTTGCTAGAGAGAATCGGAACCTCTACCTAAATGAAAACATGAGTAAAACATAAACCAAACTAGAGCCAAGACCCCCCCATTGCTACTAGACAAGGACAGTCTTCGCTTAGAGGGATCACGCGAAGATTTTCCCCGGAATAAACGGAAGAAACATCCTGCACCAAAATAAACATGGAAAATAGTGAGAAAATTGGAACCCTCACCATACCCATTAGACCATACTCCTAACCTCTCACTAGCGATTTTCTACGGCGAAGAGGGAACTGGCGGAGCCAGTACTCTCCGATTAAAAGATAAGACCCTAAACAAGCACACGAAACTAATCATCTAAACAAACAGAAACAAGACTAAAACAAGAACAGAAACAAACTAAAGAAGACATAAAGCAAGACTAAACACAAACCCGAAATAATCCAACGACTAAAACTCACAGACCCCTCAAAAACGAACACCAACAGATCGCTACACAAAACCAATACAACGATCCGAAAAAACACTAAAACAAGACCTAAACCAAGCTCCCAGCAAGACTGTTGCCCTCACACGATGCGCACTATGCGCGCATCTCCCCGCCCTGGCAGTGCAAGGTTTGCCTCTGTCACTCATCAGCGCCATGACTCTGGTTACCGGCACCACTACAAAACTTTTATCTCGAGACCCTGATCCAAGCCGGACGTCCCCATGGGTCCCCCCCTCCCCACCTCGGCCCCCCCCCTCCCCTGGCTCTCCCGGGCCGTCTGGCCAGTGGCTCACGACCCAGTTATAACAACACAACAACCTCTCTCTCCGCCTCTCTCTTCGCCGCCCACGTTTTTACCGTTCACCCACTTGTGTGTCTATTCGTCATTGTCTAAATTCCATCTGTCTCTGCGTTACTGCTGTCTGTATCCTCTCTTCTCTCTCTCTATCTCTATCTGCCTATCTCTTTTCTCCGTCCCATTCTCTGTCTCAGCTCCTCTGCTTTGTCTGTCTGTCCTCTCGCCTCCTCTCTCTCTCTCTCTCTCTCTCTCTCTCTCTCCTCTTCTCTCTCTCTCTCCTCTCTCTTCTCTCTCTCCTCTCTCTCTCTTCTCTCCTCTCTCTCTTTCTTCTTTCTCTTTCTCTCTCCTCTCCTTCTCTCTCCCTTCCTCCTCTTTCGCTCGATCTCTCTTTCGTCTCTTACAAAGCAAGAATGTCTTCTCATTAGATGAAGCCAGAAGTCTGTAATGAGAACAGCATGAAGTCAAATTCCTAATTATGAACGATATAACACGCACAGCATAACGGTTTTTCTTCTGGTGAACAAGGCATTCTAGTATTTACGTCTAACGATGATTCTAACATCAAACAATTTTAATGTACATATATTACATACATATAAACAAACACATTACTTAACTCCTCAAAGTTATGTGACGTATAGAAGTTTTTTTTTTCATTATAGAAA